TATATATTAGTATATAAATTATAACATAAAGATAACATCTAAATCGTCTTGCGATAATGCTAAAATAGGCCAAATATATAAATTATAGATAGTATATTGTGTGTGTATTTAGTATAACATGGAAATTAAGTAGCAGTGACAAAACTAATGTATGTGAGTCTCATATGTTTACGATGATTGTAACACGGATTATTTCACATTGCACTTTCTGAATTTCCTGGAAGAATAATAGTGGGTCAATCTGCTGTTAATAGAATAACGATCAGCAGGTATCTAGGCAACCGTATAAGCAACGAATCTCTGTAATTTAATCAATAATTTCAAGAAATTAACACTATTAACAATGAAATAATAATATAAGCCCCTAAAAATGTATCCAAGTGAGTAGTTAGGCCTGTTCGAATAAATGCCCCGTCCAATAAACGCTATCCTCTAGAGAGCCTCATTTGGAATAAACGCCTTCCTCGAATAAATGCTCCCCGTCTCCCCAAATGACTGCAAACAAATCTAATTGAAGTAATGTCATTCCCAACACATTCTATTAATGTTTTTTTCTAACCTGGTTGGTATCAAGTCTTTATGATCACGTAACACATTATGACGGTGTGTTGTACCGTAGTTCCACATACAGTGAAATTAAGAGGCGTTTACTGTACTTGTATCCATTTTATATCAAACAAAATTAAAGACCTCCCTCAAATCATGGGTGAAATAGAAACTATTTCCTCCATGCTCGACTAACACGCCCCACACATTTCAAAGCAGTTTTGTGCCCTTCCCTGGGTATGACAATAAAATCCATCGAGTCGGAACCTGACTCACACTATGTCTTAGTGACTGAGGGGAGGGTGCTAAATTTTATTTACAGGATGTGATCTGGTTTTCATGCCCATTATTCGTGATTATGACTATTTTGGAGAAAATAATGTGTAGAGCAAGAAGCAGTAAATTCAAGGGTTCCCCCCCCCCCCACGCATTCACCTATTTTTTTTTTAATGGACAAAAAGAAAATTATGTTAAAGTGTAAGTCGGAGTGTAATCTCCGGCCATCACAGGTGCCCTAATCATAAATTTTCTTACCTCAGCCCCAACCATGGTGGGGCTGAGGTGGGTAGATCCTCCGTCTGTGAACTTAGTCCCTTCTAAGTTCCTGAGCCACCTCTCTTTCGAAATCCTGGATCCGCTGCTATTGAGTTATTATAATTACTGTAGGGCTTACTAATATCATTTATGATGCGTCTATTGCAATTTTCAATTTGTCTTCTCATAACAGTGCTTAAACGGTCAGAGTGTGCTGCCTCCCTTCGCCCCCTGCCCCCGGAGTCATTGGCGTCCCCCAGCCGTAGGAAGGGGAACACCCCACCCTTATACGTACCTCGTATAACGGCTCCCTCCCCCTTTAAAAATAATGGCTACGTCCTTGAAAGGGGTAGGGGTAGGGGCCAGGTTGGCGGTGTTGCCTTGTAACATACCCTCTTATTCTTTTCTTGAATTATTTCTCCCTCGAATAAACGCCCCTCTATAAAGAGCGTAATTTGGAATAAACGACAACTCAATGACGTATACAATTAAGGTATGTGTTGTAGTTCCTCATTTACAGTGAAATTAAGGCGTTTATTTTGAGTAATACGGACTGCTTTTGGGGAGCAGCCCTGTTCACCACCCTCAAAGAACTGTGGTAGTAACACGCCTGTAAACTGTTCACCACCTAAAAGAACTATTAGTAACACGTCTGTACTGTTCGCAACCCCCAAGCAGGGCCGTAGCCACCGGTTCGATTGGTCAGGTTTCATCCTGACCACTTTTTGACAGACCAGAAGTTATGTTTTGAATAGGAAAAATGCGCTATATTCCACCTAATGTTTAGACTCAACCTACTCTCTCTTTGACATAACTCAAGAACCGTTGATGATAGTTTACATTATTTTCTTCTTTTTAGCGTAAAATTTATCATGACTGATTAAGAAACTAGGATGCATTTTTTCTTCAGTTGAAATTTAGTGTCTAGTGGGCTTACCTTTTATCCAAATCAAGTAGGTCAATTACTACACATAGTGAGCTTTTGCAGAAAATCAGACTAAAGTTTCCATACACTTGCCTAGGACATATATTCACTTCTTTACTAAATTACCAAGCCAAGACAAAAAACATGCCTTTATCTGTATATTTATTCCCGATATAGTTCTAGTATGCAACATTATTTTCTGTGAATAAATATACTGTAAATATACCTTTTTAAGCACTTCTCTTAAATACTGTCAAGCGCGGATCCAGAGTTTTCCCTAGCTACCGCACAGATGGGTTCCATTGGTGGGGAGGTAGTACAGTTATTAGCTTTTGAAGAAAATTCAACTTTTGTAAACCTTATCTATTTCATTAAAATCGTCCTTAAATCGCGAAATGCAATAAACATTTTATCAGCCAGCTCTTCTAACCCTTGATTTTTAAAAACTGTGGTTTGTCAGAAATTTCTCATAACACCCAGATGAATGGAAATTTAATAGAATTTTCACGAATTTTTGTTTTCAGAACCCATGAACACGTTGGCTGCCAACGATGAGTATCCTCGCCCACAGGTCAGCTGAGGGCGCCAGGGACGAGAATATTCGTCAAAATCGGGGTGAAATCTAGCGTTTATAACTTCTTTGTTATACATTGTAAAACCACATACTCGACGACTGGTAGTTCGGGGAAAATACACCTGGACGATAACGTACATTATGACGTACATATATGTTGCCGGTAGTACACGCGAGCGGCACAAGTGGGGGCGCCCTTTGAACATATACGAACTCATGCAAAAAGCAGACGAGAAAACTCGCACTTGCCAGTCAATAAAACGTTCTATCAAAGTGCCTTTGTTATACCCTAATTATTTTCCCGCCAATTTATTAGACACATCATTTTGATGATATATGACTAGATAAAATTTCAAAAAAATGTTTGTACATGTAAACTTGTTTTGGCACACGGGAAGGAACCTTAAAAAAGGTCTGGCAGTCAACGTGTTCAGTACGGCCTCTAAATGCTACTTGGACAATAGAGAAAATAGAACAGTTCTGTTCTATTTTCTCTATGCTTGGACGAAGCTCCGGATCCAGCCTGGGCTCTAAACAACCCCAGCCCAAGGCTCACTTCGCTTGCAAGCGCAACCTCCCACAAATCCTGCCTGCAGACCTGCAAACAACGCAATGGACGACAACGGTAGGACGTAGAACGAAGTCATCTGTGCATGCGAGAACGTTAAGCTCACCTCGTCAAGTAGATTCTGGAACACAACTTGGCCAAATCTACGTATGCAGAGAACGTAACTGGCAGTGCATCTTGTACAGTATTTTATTAATGCATAATATACTGCACTGTTAACAATTAATATTTGCATCAACAATCACAATTTAGCTGCAAAGCTATACCGATATAATAGCATTTTAAGGTACAGTAAACCAATTTTTTTATGTTTAACATTTACTTAATCAAGTTGTGTAAATCGCAATTAAAAACTGGTTTTCTTCAAATTACTATTTATTAAACTACACTGATGACAAAAAACCCCTATGAACTGAAGACTTGTTACAAAATGAAATTTTCAGGTTTGTGATCTTTTAATACAAAAGCAATGCATGTTCACAATAACAGTAAAAACTCCCACAACAAAAATTTATGTTCTACAGCCTATCCTCGGTTAAAAATTATGGGAACTAAAAAGCAGGGGAAGGGTGGTGGAGACGATTACTCTCAAGCAAGATACTGTAAGCTTCTATATCTAGAGTACTTTTGTTATTTATTTATCCATCATAAGTCATGATGACAGAATTAATTTTTTAACACTACATTATGAATGACTCATTACAAAGCTAAGTCTTAAAAACCAATTAAGATTCGCAAGAACTCAACATGAAATACACAAACAAACAACTCAATCTATCCACCTATTAATATTTACAAGCAATTCTTAGATTGGCAATCGCTTCAACATTCACCAACAAATCCATCTATTCATGAAAATTTACATTTATGACTCGAAAAGGAAAATCTTACTTCAAGATATCAATCTAAAACTGGGGAGGGAGAATTTGACTTGAAACAGGTTAAATATTTATGACTGTTCAATAAGCATAACTTGTTAATTCCCTAGGTACAAAACTAATCAAATATCTATGATTATTTTAGAATTACATTTTAAAAAATGAATGATTTATATTTTTGTACTGTAAATATATGTAAAGATAAGATTATCCCAGAACAGGTTATTCCCTCTGAATAATTGAGTTCTTTAATTCAGCTAAAATAATCGCTATGGCAACAAATTTGACACAAGATGAGTTTTCCATTGTCCAATCACCTTACACACCCTGAGAAAAGAACAAACAGAAATAAGAATGTGTTAAAATTTACATAATACATATTGTTAGCAATGCTAAGGGTCTCACCTTTACATTACTTAAACCCCTCTCCCACCTAGGTTTATTTCACCTGAGGGTCACAAGAATTCTATGAGTCAAAAACTTGTGATCTTTCGAGCTCATTACGTGTTAGCTACGAGTGAGGTAAGAACTTATGGAGTTGGTTACGAGTTATGTACGAATTATGCCGAGCAGAGCACCGAGTTAACTACGAGCGTAACAAGTTTGTACCAAATTAGATACGAATTAGGTATGAGCCAACTCGTTTCGGGGTGCTCGCATCAAACTCGTAGATGACAAAACCACCATCGAGTATCCAGAGTCGTGTACAAGCTAGGTAGGAGTACCCCTGAGTACTCTACGAGCTACCTAGAGTCCTTCAAGTTTACTACGAGTTATCTACTCGTGGCACTAATTTTGTACATGTTCAAAATTAGCGGCACAAGTTCAGAACTGCTACGAGTAGGTAAGAGTTCTTCCTGAGCTTTCCGAATCGTCCTACTCGGCGGCAAACTTTTGTAACTCGTATGCTGAAAAAAACCCCTAGCGGGAGAGGGGCTTTACAGGTTATTGTGTTTCTTGTATCCAGATTAGTAATTAGTGTTAATTCTATGTATATATTTTTATTGCAGACAAATTTAGACTAAATTAGATCCCTTAAAACTGGCAAACCTGAGATAGTTGCCCAGGTATTATGGTAATCATTATTCAGAAGAGAAAAAAAATGATATGAACTCATTTCACACAAATATACTGATGACGATGATGGGATGCGTTTGACTCAATGAAAATTAAGTAATCAACTTACGTCTAGAAATTGACATCTTCGGCAAAATTGATAGGTCCCATGTTTGACTGCTGAATAAAGTGAGAACTGTTATCAGCTGGCATCCGATTCAGCTCCCGCTCTTCAAACGTTCGTGCTGCCGGTCGCTTCCCTTCCATGCGGCTGTAGTACTCCAAATCGCGTGGTAATGGAGCGCGCTCACGAAACTCCTCTACAGGACGTCGGTACTCTTCAGGCGGTGGTCGTCTGAAATCTTCAGGTGGCGGGGGTCTCCGGTAGCTTGTGGGAACTGGGGATAGTCTGTTGTAGAAGCAAACGAAGACTTCTGAGAATGGTTGTACATCCATTCCTAGAAGAGAACGATTATCTGTTAACTAAAAGGAAAAATGAGTAAAGTTATCACGCAAGCACAGCTCAGGGGTTGGGAGTACAGCGTACAGTCAATTAACGATTAACACCTTATATTAACCAAATTCAACTCTTTAAATATAGCTCGCTTCAGACGAAAATTCATTGCTTTAATTGCTTTGCAAAATTCATTGCTTTAATTTAATAAATTATAAATTAGAGCGAGACTTCTAAATAAAACGTTCGATTAACAGAAACCGTAGTTATATAATTGGATAAAGTTAACATTCAACGACTTTCGTTTTAATTACAATAGTGTAAACCAACGGATACCTGCGAAAGATACGAAGATTTGGTTACTTTACCGAATATAAAACATGGAACCGTTTGTTACTTATGACTTAAAGCTGACTTCGTTATCATACATTACCGTACCGGGCCGCGGTAGCTCGAATGGCAGACCTAAGTTTCCTGACTTGATTACTTGCTTGCCTTGTCATCTGTCACTGATTATATAACTCCAGAGGTTTCATATTATCACACAAGACAATCCGAGACTATTTTTCAAGTCTACGAATTGAGTTCGTCCAATCGATCTACAAACAGGTACTGCGACCTGTGAAACCTTTGATCTGCGAGGCGATCCAATCTATCAGCGAAATAGTTCATTGTTCAACTAAACAAATGTTTGATCTGCGATGTGGTTGGATGGTTTACGAAACAAACCCCTCAATCTTCGAAAGTCCTTCAATCTGCGAAACAAACCCTTCGTCTACCAGACACTCTGATCTGAGATGCTAACTTGGATACGGGTTTAATTGGTTAACAAGGTAATATGTTAGTGAAGTATGTAGTTATTTCTTGTAGCCATGTTCTGAGAATACATACAACTCAATTCTAATGTTGATGAACGCCAATTTCATTGACAGATTCATTGGTATGGTACGCATTCACTGATCTTTAGAAAAAAAATTACTAAACCACACATATTTTTTAGGGCAAGAAAATTGAAGGAATTGTGAGTTCCACACAATCGCGCTGAAATAAATTAAAACTAGTTAGAAATTGATTTATTCAATTAAATAAGGCAGTTAAAAACAAACAAGTCTTAATGTTGAAACATTTTTTAATTCAAAGAGCGAGAAAGAAAGAACCTCCGAAACACACCAAACTTTTTTGATAAGCTGAACAATAGGCCAAGCGCGAAGCTAACAGCCTACTTGCAGCAGCCATCTTGAGCATGACTGGGAATACGCGTTCAACATAGAATATAAGTAAACGCATTAAATATCAACATAGTTATCTCAAAGTAATCTAAAACGAACATATTACATTTTATTAAAATGTAATACAATTTACATAATATTTGACATCATTCATCAAATAATCATAAATCGAAGATTAGCAATTTATTATGTAATTATTAACATCAACATGATTTACTACAAAACATAAAATATCAAAGTACAATAATTTTTTTTTCAACGAATAAAGCAATATTGTATTAACCAGGTCACATTACACTTAGTCTCTATATCATATATATTAAGTCTTTTTTAAGGCAAAATATTAAATAACAACATAACAATAACAGTATTTATTCCTTAACATTAAACTGGTGACCTACTGATCATCCCGACAGCCCCACTCTCTCTCAAATTATTATTTGTAATGCAATGAACCTACCGTCTTTCATAACTGTAGTATGGATCCCGAGATGGAATTCTCTCATAATACCGATCATAATATTCTCTGTAAGAAATGGAATTAAAAATGATTAGTTACATCTTTGACAACAGTTTGTAAAATTTCTTATTTATTTAAAATTAAAGTAAAATAGCACTGATATTATATGGAAAATTAGAATGAAATATTAGAAATTAAAGCCTTGCCGACCATAACAATATTCAGAAAAAAATACTGCAAATATGTATAAAAATGTAACTGCAGTATTAAATCGTTAGTAAACTAAAAGCTCTTAGAAACAAGCATTCAACTTTCTTTACCTTAAAAAAAAAAAAGAACTGATTAGCTACCAATAACATATCATACCTGGTTGGGGAATATCGCCTTCGATACCCAGGGGGAGTAACTGGTCTTCTCATTGGAGGGCTACGGCTTCTCTCTCTGTACCCATAGCCCGGCGGGGGCAAAGGTCTTCGGTAGTAGTCGTCAAATTCATAATACCCATCACGCATTGGAGAAGGGTAGAAATCACGTCCATTGGAGTAACTATCACCACGACCACCTCCTCCGCCACGACCACGCCCTCTTCCTCGACCTCTAGGCCTGCCACCTCTTGAAAAAAAAAATTTCAAATTAAAAACGAAATTTTGTTATGTTCTATTATCTAAATAGAACATGAATAAAATATTTTCAAAAATAATTTCATACAAACTTTTTTATATTCTTTTTCCCTTTAATTGGCGCCCCAGTATTATTAAAAACACAACGCCAACATATATCCTGTCTCTTATACACATCAGATGTGTATAAGAGACAGGAATTATGCCGGGTGGGCGAAGAGGGTAGTTGTAAGAATAAAAATGTTGCAAATATGAACAATTATTTACAGAGGAAACACAAGGCACATAAGTGAGAGATACATCAAAATCAATACCTATACTACATATTAATGGATATACTGTAAACTACGAAAAGTTCAGCAGTATTCAGTACTTGCCCATTAGCATTTGTGGGGCATTCCCGTGAGAAATGTCCTGTTTTTCCACACCGGAAACACTCTCCCTTGGACCCCACACCAGGGTTCTTGTGTACCTCAGTTGTAGAATACTGGACATTTATCTGACAGTCATCTATCATTGTATGGTGCAGCCCCCTGACAGCAGCTTCAGCCTCCATTTCATTTTCCATATGCTAAAAGAGAGACAGAGAGGATATCATTTAATTCTTTAACAATAAACACAACATTGAATGTATATTCACTCCAAAACAAATAACATATTTCAACATCCAACTTCCTTAAATAAATTAAGTGACTATAATTCAATCGCAAGCATAATCAAATAATAGGTTATTTATCATATTTTTACTTGTTTAATTTCAAAAGTATTTATTAGCATCAATATATAGTCAGAGGAAAGACAAATGGAAAACAAACACATACAACAAATCCATAATTCCTGAGGACGTCACACTCTGCAACTGTGCCAAATTGTTCAAAGCTATCCCTTAACTTTTGGCTGTCGTAATTATTGGGCAGATTCCCAACAAACAACTTCTTTTTCACCATGCTATATATATAAAAAAAAAAAAAAAAATTTCATTACATCTCATTCTGTCAACATTTTAAATTTCATTAATTGACACACACACGGATTGTCAGTGTAACTATAAAAAACAACACAATAAGTTTGAGAATACAAACTGTGTAACTCAGTGTCTGTACTGTACTCTGTGTGAGTGATTGGCCTTGGCCTAACTGTTGACAATCCAATGAATTGTGATTAAATTAGGATTACTTTTTTTTCATACAAAAAATGTTTCATGAAGGATGTACTGTCTCAGTCTGATATATGAGGTAAACATAAAATTTAAAAAACTTCCTTATTTAAATTGCCTTATTTACACAGTACTCCACAAAAAGAAGCTGAGGTAGCCTAGGCCTACCCATGATCCACCAATAATGACCCACGCCGCGCCACGCCGTTTTAGGGACGCATCCCGCCGCTTGTATTGGATCGAACACGTTTCACGGTCAAGCTTCTTTTTCAACTTGTTTAAACGATATTATTTACAGAAGTAACGCTTAATATTCATTACGCCTAGTATTCTAAGCATTTTTTACATACTGATGATTCTTAAAAATAAATCTTAAAATAACTTACGTGTCTATTTTATTGCTGAAACTCCCTTCGAAATAAAATAAAACAAGGTGCCGAACACACGCCACAAAAAGGACACAAAGCTACCTACAGATATAGATCCGCAATCGGCTATATAGAATACGCATGCGTCTGTGTATATGATGACTTTATTTCCACGGTCACTCGATCGAGAAACGGAACCAGCAGCGTAGGTCCAAAAAATTGAAAATTATTATTAATAAATAACCATTTTAAAATATTTAATGTACGCTATTCTATATATTGTTTTTAAGAGTTTATATATATTTTTTTATGTGTTATTGTCTATACCTTAGAAACATTTAATCCTTAACAATCTTGTGATGTAAAATCAAAAACTTACCGAAAACTGCACGAAGGTCATTCGATTTGTCAATAATATAATACACGACAGACATGTGGGAGAAATGTTAGCTGGCTTTATTTTTAATTTAGAATATTTTTATATTGAATAATGAGGGGAAAACGGTCTAGACATAGAGGAGGGATCCGTGGTAGAGGAAGAGGGTCGAAGAAAAGACGTGTAGACAAATGTAGGCCTAGTCCCGGTCAAATGAGTTCAGAAATCCACGAATCGAATTTGCCGTCGACTGCCAACACGGCACACGCTGGAAGGTGAGAATGAGATGAGTTTCGTGTGATACAAAACAGAAAGGTCTGCTTAGGCCTAGGCCCAGTCGGCTACCGGCATTCTGCTACTATTTTAATTCCCATTTATCCTTATGCATATGAAAGCTTGGATGATCAGGGAGCTAATGGGACGAGTTTGTTTATTTTAGTAGTAGTGAGGTAAGGAAGAATAAATAGGCCTTTTCCAAGCAAGGTACTGTAACTGTAGAAATAGTTGATCCTATAATAGTTAGGCTAAGAAACAAAAAATAAAATGACATATATAAATTTACTGACCCACAAACTTTCTCTTTTGGTTCACTGTAGTTTGACGGGCAAGATGGACCCAGCATCACTTCTAAAGACAGCAGATGTAAGACCATGCTTGAGAATGAATGAAAATGTATATAAAGAATTTAAAAAGTATCTCTGGTTTGATTCAATCAAACCTGCAACCTCTCACTATCAAGACGAGTATCATACCCAGATCCAAACCCAGGCCAGGCACTTTCTTTCATGTAACTGACTGAAACGTAAGCTAGAATTTAAGCTTAATGGCCAAATTTTGGAAAACATAGTAAATAGGTAGTTTCGTCGCACGACGTTATCCTTAACTTTAACGTTAGTACCCAACTTGCAACGCGATAACTCCGCCCCTTTTGTAAACAATTCGAAATATGCATGCGCAAACCAGTAACTAACGTCTGTCGAGCATGTAAAATCCTGAAATTCCCTGATTGGTAAGTTACAGTATATGTGTGCTAGGCCTACTACAAGCAAGTATTTGCCAAGAGAGTTGGCTAAATTAATCAAAAATAGGGAAAATGTGACAATTATTTTCAAAATACTGTGTAAATTTTCTTCACCTCTTTTAGGATGATTGGAGTTCAGAAAGTGAAGAGGAAAGCCCTCTAGACCTGCTTCTTTCATCATTTGGTGACAAAAAGAATTTAACTCGTAAGTAATAAATAATGGTAAACTTAAACTTGGTTAAGGCCAAGTAAAAAAAATACATGTTTCTCGTCCGCGCCCGCTTCCGTTTTTGGAGCCCCTCCTATTTTTTGTTATTTATTCTCTTTTAATTGCAGAAAAAGAGATAACAAATTATCCCTCCAAAACCCCGTAAATACCTTTTTTTTCGGTAAATACACCGTGCGCCAAAGTCTTCATGGCCTATACATATTATTTTTCTCTAACATTCACATATGATAATTGTGAATTTTAATGCCTGAAAAATGATAACTAGTCGATGGCCTAGCTAGGCCCACATTCGTTATGATGCGTGACCACCCGCGTGATCTCACAGGCTGGCGATGAAAATGATCGTACGACATCGCCGAAGCGAGCGAGGTTGATTATTATTGCATTATTTTATGTGATTATATATACATTACACCTAAATAGGTCATTCAAGCGTATGTATAGTGCTGGTGGAACATGGCAATCTGATCTTGGGGGGAAAAATAACAAAAAAACTGTAATAACAAAATAAAAGAAAATAATAAATAGTGCCTCCTTTCTTTTTTTAGAAAATCCGGACGAGAAACATGTATTTTTTATTATTTGGCCTAAGCTATTTTTAAACATGATTAAAATATGTTTTTGCCATTATTTTATAATACTGGACCTACATTTATTCTGAGATTATTTTGAAAATGTAACCATTCTGAACTCCTCATCTCGTCATTGGATGGAAGTGCCCTATTCTTCTTTTTAATCAGTCTAATATTTACTTTGTTGTGGCTGGAGGTAGGTAAGATAATACATCACTAAATACAGCAATATTGTATATGTGTACATATTTGGTAGACTCTAGATCAATGACGGCTTGCTTATAATTGTAGGTAAAAGCGTTGTAGGTGCATATGAGCAAATTTGTTTACATTTTCATTCATCTGCTGACACTCCAAATGTTAATTTACTGCCTTTCTTTACCGTCAGGTATGAAATATGATGATAATAAAGAAGAAGGGGATGAAGATAATGTAGAAGGAGATGAAGATATTGATTTGTCCGATGACAACTCAAGTTATAAATATGGTAAATCATTTATTCATAAATTTCACAAATTCTGAAATTGCATTCTAGATTCAATTTTTTTTTTTGTCCATTTAAATGTTTTTTGGAAAATTGGCAAAGAAAATCAATATTTTACTGTTTTGTATCTTGATATGTGATATATGTTCCTGGAAAATTTCACATTAAAACTGCTATAGTAACAATTGTCATTATTTTATTTGTGATAAAGAAATAGATGAGAAAAATGCAAGACAGGAGGAACTGGTAGATAATGAAGATGAGGAGAACAAAGAGCAGGATGAGAACGAAGAGAACGAGGATGTTGACGAAGGAGATGAGGATGAAGAAGAAAATGGTGATGACGCAGATGATGAGTCTATTGAAACTTCAACAGGGGTGGAGTACAAAGGTACTTTTAGAATCATCATTACATGATAATTAGAAGTAATTCTTATATTCTTATACATTTTTTTATAGGTGTTATTGTGGGACTATTATTTTGTAATAATTCTTACATATTTAATGTAGATATAGTATTGATTGTATTTAAAATGTGTTCAAAAAACCAACCAATTTAACTACCAAATATGGTACTTCTATATTCAGGAGTTTTTTTGAAATAAACAAAAACTGTTCGACGTTATCATATTAAAATTTGTCTAAAAAAACTAAAGAAATTGTGTTCGTGATTTCATTAAGTTATCATTTATTTTTAGATCCTTTTTTCAGAAGAGTTAATCATGTAATGGAACAGAAAGACATTGACAGACTAAAGGAAAAGCCAGGCACTATAGAAATGAAGGTACTGTACTCTGTTTCAGTAACATAACAAGGTAATAATATTAAATAATTGTAATGTACAGTATTATAATCATTGGCAGCCCCATCTCAAAAGACTATGCATCAACCACCTACGGAGAGGGATATACATTATTAGAATATATTTTAAAATTATATTATTATTTTCCCCTTTGTTAATCACATATCATGCATGTAACATTTCCATTCCTTTTTTATCTGTTTTTGTATAATTATAATTATTTCTCATTATTTTTTAGCACTTTGTAAATTGCTATATTTATATATAAAATTAAATATTTTAAATTTCTTATGGCTTGTAACAAATTTTCTTACATTATTCAATTATCGACTATTATTTATTTCAGTGGCCGCAGCTTGGTCAGATAAAATTCCAGTCAAGTGAAAAGAACCCTACACAGCCACAAATATGCCAAGAAAGTAAATTATCAGAGCTTTATGTAAGGCATTATTGTTTATAATTTTCTGTGATAAATCAAGACTAATTTATTTCTTGTTTTACCTGGGTTAACAACTCAAAAATATTATATATTAGGGAGAAAATAAACAAACAAGAAAAAGGCAATATTAATTTAAGTTTGTCTACTCCCTTGGGCAGTGTTTCCACAATTTGGTTCCTCTGAATTTAAACATCCTCTGACCTGACTGTTGTTTTTGGATAGGAAGCTTTAAATTACCTCTAGTACTTCTAGTATTGTGGCAATGAACTCTGCCCAAAGGAGTAAATATGTCAGTAAGGTATTGGGAACTCTGTCATCCAAGCATTTCTTAGTGATGATGATGGTAATTTTAAAAAAAATTGATGATATGTTAGTCTTACAATATAGCATATAAAGAAACACTGTTCTTTTTGCATTCCATTGGATCAAATGCATGTTTCTGTTTCAGGTTCGAAAGAGGATATCGGAACGATGGCAGGATGTTAACAAAGAGTATCTTAATGCAGCTAACCCAGATGAGGTCTTCAGTCCATTGCAACGAGAAATCTTCTCCATTATGAATGGGTATAAAGTAAATAGGCACTTTTGGAAAGTTTACTGTTTAATTAAGATGTTATGAAGTAATTGCACTTCCCATCTTGGATACTTGTTCGTTTGGCCCTCTATTTCTTGGGTAGAGCTCTTAGTCTCTCTTTGCAGGATGCCACACTGGGTGCTATCACAACATTCTCAGGAAAGTTATTTCTTTCTGAGATCACTCAATTGCTGAAAAACTATTTTCCGATATTAGCTTGTTTATATTTACAAAAAAAAACTTTCATAGAATTACCTCAGAGGCCCTTTAATGGAGGTAGGAAGAAAAATAATTTGGAGAAGTTTAAAATATGTTGCTTAATAACTTATATGATTCCAAAATATCTTCCTCTTGTCCACCATGGGACAAAGATAAATATTATTTAAACATAATAATATACATTTTATGTGTATGGTTATGATGTGTTTATATAAAAGCAGTTAAAGAAGTAATTGTTCTTAGGCAGTTTCTGTAATAATAATATTAATTGTAATGTAATTTATAAATTATGTAGTACATTTCTCTACAGTTAGAAAGTGCTTGTATGTACCTTGATTACAGTTCTGTGTCAAAGTTTCATTAGACAATTTTCATAGTTTTTCATTTTCCCCAATTGATAAAATTAAACTGATTATTATAATATTATATAAGGTAAATCAATACCAAATAATACCTTGGTTTTTTTTTCAGGATTTGCTATATTGCAATAGAACACATCATAATGCTGAGGAGCTTCGACTTACATATTGTCTGCACGTTCTTAACCACATTGTTAAGTGAGTTTTGCTTTATTTTTTTTATATCAAAGTTGGTGCCTGTGAGTGTTTAACACCAAACAGCCCAAGCCTGATACCAACACCCTCTGGTTTGGTTGTTCTACAGTACCAATTGCACTATAAAGCCAGGCTGTTTTCATGGATTAATCTCATTAAGGACATGTTTTCTGTTGAGCAAATTTTTATATATCATTAAATTGTAGATATCAGAATTAGACTCACCTTATTTCATCTTGTTTAAATGGAAATTTTTCAACTAAATGGAGTGAAGTTGGGTAGCTTGGTGGTAAAGATTCTCACCTAGCAGTCACAGGGTCTTGGGTTCAAATCCTGTCAGAATCCAGGAAAAGGCAACTGCACTCCTTAAGCCTTGTTATGAGACTTAGTTTATGTAGCGCATCATGTGTATATGTTTGCCGTGTGAAGGGATTGCCACCTATCTAATAGGACAGTGTTAAAGTCGCTATTGGTAATCCTTGGCATGTGCCTAAAGGAATAAACTAAAAACCAATATTAGAATTCCATGTATCATTGCAGAAACAAGAGAGAAAGTATTTAATTTCTAAAACATTTATTTGAAATTTGACTGTCTTGCAGGTCAAGGCAGGTTGTCCTCAAACACAACACTATGCTGTCTCAAAACCAAGAGCTGGACACAGAGTAAGTAGCATAGCTCAGATGGGCTAAACTGGTGGTTGCCTTTGTGTTTACACCATACCATGATAATCTTTGGGTCCCTGGTTCAATTCTATCATTGTCCTTGTGCTTTTCCGCTGGTAGGCCAAGAGGCACACTGTCCTTTCAACCTTTAAACTGTTGTGAGAAAGAAAAAAATAATCAGTAAATTGCTGAACAAACTAATAGTATTCAATTTTGACAATTTAAAAAAAATTGGATCCAACATTGTTTATTTTACTTCTTCGTGGTCTTCTCAATATTGTAGTTTAGGTTATAGTTGTCACAGGATATGAGATATGAGATTTGAATTATGTCTTACAACCCAACAATTACATGTTTGTGTAAAGTGATTGGATGGCTATAAGGATTATGTTGGCCTCAAACATATTCTACTTGAATCTCTTTAGTGGTTCAGATTGGATTTTGATATCAAATAAATCAATGAAATATTATGTATTGTTTGGTTGGTAAAACCAAGTCTTTTCAGTCAAGGACTTAAAGTTGGAAGTCTAGTGTATTGTTTGAAGGAGGCTAATATATTAAATGCTTGTGGTACACGTCATACTTAGTTCTGAAAAGAACTTGCTTTTGTTTTCAATTGAGTTGCTTCAATAGACCGATTCAGTGATGGCCATCACATGACCTAACTTGGGTGTTGGATGTAAACAATGGACTGGCACAGTGGTGTTTATAAATGGAGATTGCTATTGCAGCCATCCTTTTGCTGTAAAGATCATCATAATTCCCAGCAAATTATACCAAATTAAATGGAAATTGAACTTGAGAATTTTGCTATTACTCCAAAGAATACATGGCTGCAAACATTAAGATTGTCCACTTAGGCCTAGGCCACTGCACATCTACAACCTGTTTAGTTATGCACGAGGGTCTTTGACCTGTGAACTACGCTACGATTTTAGGTTAGCTAAGGTTTATGAAGGATTACTTTAATTTCGAAGCATACAATGCTAGGAGAATACTAGGATAAGTAAGTAACTACTGAACAATCGTATTGACTTTCCTTGCCATTTATTTCTCACATTAACAGTGGCGGGGTTGTTTTCGCGACCATAACATTACCTTTTCCTATACTTTCTCACTGATCGCACAGTAATGTTTTCCATGGTATACCCAAGTTATGTCACGTGACTGACTGTAAACAACATCACCGAATCGGTCTATCGTCATCAGGGGAGTCTAGTGTATACATCTGACTTGTGTGATCTTATTGAATCTTTCGGAAAAGTAGGGGTCCTACCTTGATGCTGCTTGCATGTGAACAAGAACTTAGCAATCACCTTACTACAGTTGTTACAAAAGTCTACATTTGCCTTTACCTATATTAGAATAGTAACTTTTATCCGATGTTTTTATATTTTTTAAATTATTGGTAATGATTTGAAATTCAAGAGAAAATCCTTTTTCTTACAGCGAGTTTCGTGACCAAGGTTTGACTAGGCCCAGAATTCTGATTCTGGTACCATTTCGTGATGCAGCGTGGAAGATAGTAAACATGTTTGCAAAACTCCTGCTTCCAGCAGACCAACAACAAATTAGTCACCGTAAGCGGTTTAACCAGGAGTATGGTGATCAGGGGCACGAAAGTTCGAAAATAAAGCGACCAGGTATGATCTTAAACTTTCTTTTCCTTTTATTTTTCTCCTAATACTAGAGAAGTGGCAAACTTAAGTGTATCCTTAGGCTCCGGAAACTGTATCCTCGGGTTCAAAGAAACCTATCCACCAGTTTGTGCGTTGAATTTTGCTTTTACCTGCTCTAAATTGTGTGCTTGACTTCATGGTAGGCACCAAGTAAACCTTTTTAAAACAATAATTAACATTTGTCTAATTGCTGCATCACAGCTAAACTTGAAAGCTTAAGAGACATTGCTTCAAATTGATTAGATTGGTAAAAAATGATCCTTAATGTTTAATAAAAGAAAAGTCAGTCTCATTTCAATGTTATTTTTGAAACAAAATAATTGTTATTTATGGGAATTATAAAAAAAGAATTTTTTATCATGATAAAACACTTACAAGTTAAAAACAAGCCTGATTCTTAATCCTCAATTAGGTCTAATTATAAAATCATCTCAGGTTTCATCCTGTAATTAATAATATCTGTTCTTGCTGTTACTTACAAGTAAAAGAAAATCCAATTACACCATTAAGCCTGTTTTTCACTAGGCGAATTTATTCGCGCGAATCAAAGGCGTCAGTTCGGTTCCTGAGCTCTGATTGGCTGCACTCTTATTTCACTTGGCAGAAAGTAGAAACAGTTTAAACTACCGATTTTCCTGAAGCGAAAACTCTGATAGAAATGTGAGTTCGCAGACGCATGCACCGAAGCTTGGAAAACGGGCTTTATTAGTATCGTTTCACTTTTATTTTGTTCATGTGTATTTTTGTAGATGATTTTGAAGCTACCTTTGCTGGCAACATAGATGATCATTTCAGACTGGGTATTGGTATTTCAAGGAAGAGCATGCGTCTGTACACAGATTTTTATAAATCCGATATCATCATAGCGTCTCCATTAGGATTGAGGACTGTAATCGGAGCCGAAGGGTACAACTTTTAAAATGTTTATCCTCTTGTAGAGTCTATGTGGCCTTGTAAATTTTAAGGATTAAAGACATACTGTGATTTAAATCAAATATGAATTTTTCTATAAATTCATTAGATTTCTATGAAAAATTAAAATGAACAATGAAAAAAAAAAATCCATGCCAATTGCATAATACGATTCTTTAGTCTTATACCCTTAAAATTTCATTAGCAAATTTACATATTTTTATTTTTAATCTTCTGTAAAGTATGGTAAAACTTAATTTTTTCCCTATGCCAAGTGGAGATAAAGGTAGGAGAATAACCGATAACTCGCTACGTCATTGTGGTGAACTGTGTATTAGTGTGGTCTGTGACTACCTAGCCACCTAGCACTGTAGCTACATGTTCACATCATTCCACAATGACAGGGGCTGAAATGAACCATAGCATTGGGGTAATCTCCTACATCATTCCACAATGACAGGGGCTGAAATGAACCATAGCATTGGGGTAATCCCCTACATCATTCCACAATGACAGGGGCTGAAATGAACCATAGCATTGGGGTAATCCCCTACATCATTCCACAATGACAGGGGCTGAAATGAACCATGGCATTGGGGTAATCCACTATTTTTCCGAAGGATGCAACATTGCAATGTATTATTTAAAGTGCACATGAGCCAGGTCTTGTTTCTACCGACCAAACTCTGGGCAAGGAGCGGCTCAAGCCAGCGCCGATGTTAAGGCTGTAGTTAGTGGGGTCCCTGCCATACCGACACTAATAATGATAATAATAATTCTGGGTTTATACCATTGTAAATGTTGTAGCAGCAAATTTAATGACATTTTGTAGTAAAATATCTGTTAATTTGTGTGAATCATTGAAATGTTTCAATTTTATTGGTGGAGTTACTTTAAACTTCAAAACACTTTCGTTTCAGAGACAAGCATCGAGACTGGGATTTTCTGTCATCTGTTGAGGTGCTAATTATCGACCAAGCTGATGTTTTTCTAATGCAGAACTGGGAACACATTATGGTAGGATGTATTTATATAATCTTACTCCATTTATCCTTCTTTTATAATATATATTATTCGTTTCTTCTTTTCTTTTTTTTTTCTTTTATTCTTTTCTTTTCTATTATTATTCTTTTATGTACAGTTAAACTTGCCTAAGTCGACTTTGGTTTAATAATTTCTAAATCAATCTAATTTTATATGCCAAATTGTTGTGATTTCCATTATTTAATAATCTGTAAGTCAAATTTTATCTTAGTCCAACAATATTTCTATGGCAATTTGGATTCGACTTAGGCAAGTTCAACTGTATATGTTATTGGCGTAAAATAAAATAAGATAATAAGAGAACTAAAGCTAATAGCGAAGGTATTCACGATATTGAAGGGGCAGGGCATAGCAGAATAGTTTATTCCAGGTTGAAGGTTTTAAATTTATCTTATAAATTGCACATAGCTGAATCTTTAATTCACATAGTCCAGTTGATTCACAGTGTTTTTACAAACTAAAGCTTTGTTGACACTATTGAATTCTCTTTGACAAAGAAACTGTTGTATGCCCATATATAATCATGATATGGCAATACTGGTATATGGTCATGATGTGATGTCGTCATGACCGTATTTAGGCATGTCACATGTTTTGTCTGGAGTTAAATTTATATATAACACCACACATATGTGGCAGTGACAAGGGGAAACAATCGCAAGTCAGAAAAACAAGTTTGGAGTTATTAATATCTTGTAAAAATATGAATTCTAAACTTTCCGATAATGAAAAAAATCAATCTTATGCAATAAATACTTACAAAGTTAGGATTGTTTTAATATTGAAATTCATTCCTGTTTGTGAAATGCCTAAGCGAAAAAAACAATGATAAGCATCGTCTTCGTTTAAATGGTGACTTAACTTATTCAAAATCTACTGATATTTAGCACATTTGTTGTTTATATTATTTCCAATACATTTGCCAAGTCTCGTGTGGATTCCATATCAATAAAATTTTTAGTAGGCCTAGCATGTTTAGGCCTAGTTCCTGTGAATTCTGAGCAAAATTTGTAAACTCCCAACACACAGAAAGACTATTTTTTTCGTGTGGTAAACAGTTCAAAATTATTCATTCAAAAAACACATTCAGTAATTATTTTAAGCTATACTTGCTTCTGTATTTAAATTTAAATTATTATTAAACCGAAATTGGATGAAAAAAATAAAGGATGATGCATTCAAGTTCGCACAGAGCATGCGCAATGAGTAATACAATGATGAAATAATTAAATCAACCAATCAGCGGGCCGTTCTCATAGTCGTCGTCAAGGAGAGCTTAGGTTTGTGTACATGAAATGAACCAGATTTTAATTGGTGAAAATATAGATTATCTCAACCATAGTTGAGCTTATAAAGGTTGAGCTTATATTAGGTTTATAATGATGCTAAACACGACATGTCAGGCTTTAAAACGTGTTTGGTAATAACAATGATGAGCGTTTTATAGGGTAGACAAATTTAATTTTTCCTACTTCCTGGTTATAGCGACTCTCTAAAATCATTATTTTTGGCATGTTAAGGTAAATAATAAGAAAAACTGTTGAGTGAATCCGATAATGTAATATTTAAACTACATGATTCTGTTGAAAAATCGATTTGTGAAAATATTGGCCTCTACCATTGTTTTGGCCTATATTTTAAAACGGCCAACGCGACTTCCGACAGTTTCCGCTTGTCACCGCCACATATAGACCTTATTTTATTTATTTTTTTTTTGGAATACTGATTCTTTAATGTAAGGTTGGGCTTGGAATTCCAGTAACAGGAAGCAGAGAATAAGGCTGCAATTTCTGAATTTGATAGGCCTTTATCATTTGAGGATTCTTATGAAAATGTTGCGTATGCGCTAGAATACAAGCTAGAAGCTGCTTTGGTGTCAGATTCCGTTTTAATAAAATGATTGATTATTATATTACTCAGTGTAGTGATAATAATTTCATTAAAAGATATTTATAAGATTCTTGTATCTGTCGAAGACATCACTTTGATGTTTTAAATCTTTTGAATCACCATTATTATTAGAACCTAATGTATAATTATCTTGTTTACATTTTTTGTAATATTATTCCAGTATGAAATCTAATTTTATTTGTTTGTTTTAAAAAGCATATTATGGACCATCTACACCTTCAACCAAAAAAGGCTCATGACGTGGACTTTTCCAGAGTGAGAATGTGGACCCTGAATGGTTGGTATGTTGGTTTTTTATTATTATTTTGATGAATTTTTATTTTGGATAATACCTGTAGCGCATATCCATATCAGAACAGTTTCAGTTTAAGTAGTTGAAGTCAAAATTATCTACTGTGTCTTTGCATTGTGGCTTTATCAGCGAAATGCGCTATATAAGAGTGGCATTACTTTTATTGTTATTAGTATTACTGTTATTGTATTATTGTTATTGGCTTTTGCTGCATTAGTAGAAAAAGCCTTAATTTTTGTTCTGATTTTTTTTCTTCTATCCTGTTTTACTATGGTTTTTGAACTGGGGTTTTCTGACCAACACTTTGGTCATTTTCCAAGCTTGGATCTTTTTTCAAACTTTGTCCAAGAAAACACCATATATCAAAGATGTGCATATTAAAATGTGATGTCATTCTGCGTATTTTGAATATTAATAAATGGGTAATTAATCTTTTGTGTTAATGTAAATTGCGTTTTCGAAAGTGCTTCAAACTAGCTACAGCTATGTTAAACACAAATTACTGTGAAATGCATAAACAATTTTCGGCCTCAACTAATAACATTATTCAAGGTAGACAAACTAAAAATGACCTCCGCATTTAATGTTATTCTTATTTTATTATCTTTTTCATCACTATCATAATTATAATGGAAAATAAAACTCAGGATATTCAGTACTTTTATGACTAGTTTATTTATGACAGTACACAAGCTTTCGTGCACACAGTGCACTTCTTCAGGTGAATGCACTATGTGCACGAAAGCTTGTGTACAGTCATAAATAAATTAGTCATACAAGTACTGAATATCCGGAGTTTTATTTCCTATTATATATTAGACTAGTACGGCTTATCTGTTTTTTTTATAATTATAATGGTTATTAATGTTTACAGGTCCAGTTACTACCGTCAAACTCTTGTTTTCAACGAAGTTAATGTGCCAGAAATCAACGCTCTATTTAATAAGAAGTGTTTTAATATCCTTTATTTTTACACGTTATTTATATGGATTAATTTCACAATAATATGGTAGGGCAGAGGTGGTCTCTACCTTCCATCTGTAGAATTCCCTCCCATGACTTTTCTGAAAGTTGTAATAGATGTGTATTCAAGAATATGTTAATAAATTCAAATATGTACGCCAGATGGAGGAAAGTGTTGAATGTCAACCAATAATGATTATCTCGCATGTTTTACTTTACTGTTTTATGATTACCATTTCTTATTTTTCAATAACTGCAAAAACATAACTAACATAATCTATGTTATCACCTTATTTATTAATATTTTAAAACTTCCTTAACTAAAATAAATTTCAGTGGTGGAGTCGCTGTTGTCAACCGACAGATAATGGCATCAATATGTCATGTAACTACTCAACTGCCACAGGTGTGTTTGCCTGCAATTTAACGGTTGACTGGTTTCATAAGTTGTGTTGGAAATCAAGAAAAATAGAATAATGCTAATTATGCTCCTCATTATTGGTAGTCATGGCAACGTTTTGTACAGTTTGAGTAATTTATCTATTGAATAGTAATAAGGACACAAGCATAGTGCACCGGTATCGTTTATTTACATCCTTCAGTCTAAAATCCTGACCATTTTCTTTCACAAATTGTTGTATGCCCATATATTAATCATGATGTGCATATATATATCCATGATGTTGCATATTACATGTTTTTGTCAAATGAAATTTGATATTCTGGATCGAACAGTTTATCCTCTCTGATCATCAATTGGATAAATTTGAAATTTTAATTTTGAATTTGAATTTGTTTCTAATAAAAATGCTGATATTTGTTGTTAAAAAAGGTGTTTTTTTTTTTGTTTTTTTTAAAATATTTAAAACACTTTGGCAGGTGTTCCACAAGTTAAACTGCAGCTGTTATCCTAACGAGGCAAAAACACGATTTGATTTTTTTATCACAAAGGTAAATATTTATCTTAATATACTGCAGACATAGATTCTAGGCATTTGTGATGTGGGCAATATTTGTATAGCATGAATACATCTATTTGATATTGCCAGTTTTTAAAATATAATTTTAACAAATAATAATCATTTTCTAACAGTTTTTTGCATTATGCATGAGGGCATGCACAAGGCTCAGGCTGCCACTGCAGCTGTTGTCCTAGTGATGCACAAACACAATTTGTTTTTTTTTTTTTCATCACAAAGGTAAATATTTATTTAATATACTGCATACATAGATTCTAGGCATCTGTGATGTGGGGAATAATATTTGCGTAGCATGAATACATCTATTTGATATCGCCAGTTATTAAAATATAATTTTAATAAATAATAATTTCTAACGGTTTGCTTGACAACCAATACGCGCCCGTTTTGACGAGCTACTCTGATTTCACGAACAATCTACTTTGATTGTGTTACAATGGTACCAAACACTTCATTCTAATCACAATCTGTGACCTTTAACAGTAAAATCAAAATGGCTCACTTTTGGAGATTTACGCAATTTTGCACAACAAAGCTGAGATAATTTTGATTTTGTGAAAGTAAATCAATATAGCTGTACGCTAGTGTAAACAAACAAACAGGGAAATACTTATGGTCCAGACTGAATATAGTGTTCAAATTGTTAGTACATGTCGGTAATTACCCCCATCTATCAGATTCTGTAAAAAACCTGAAACACAGAGATCACCGTGTTTGGCAGTCAAGCGTTGCGTTACCAAACACAGAGATCTCCATGTTTTGCGAGCAGAGTGTTAACATAATTTCGAACGTTTTTTTTGCGTTATGCATGAGGGCATGCATCGTAATAGTAAAAACGATTTTATCATTTTCCATGATTATGATGTCATTTGATTTGATTTGTGTAATTATTTTTTTATCGTATACGACACGTGATCAATTGTTATTGAATCGTGCTAGTGTGAAAACTTTTCTTATTTCTTTTATTTTGTATATGATCAATTGCTTCTTACTTTTTATCGTTATCGTCATAGTGTAAACAGGACTGTAGACTAAGGCCAAATGAAAAAAATTATTATGTTGGCCAGGCCCTATTGACCCAAAAATGTACGAAATTGAGGTTCGGCATTTTATTTAATTGAGCTAAATGGCTGGAATAGGCCTATCTTTCCGGACAGTAGTTGATGCAACAGTGTTGTGCGATTGTTTTGCTCTTCAATATAGATTTGAAAATGGTCTTTGTTGTATTTTTGTGTATTTTCTACTTTTTAGGCATAAACACATTATTGGTCAAAAAAAAAAAAAATCCTACTTATCTACCCATTTTTTCGATTTTTTCTAAAACGTGGCCAACACTAACCATTCTTTAGAAAATTTTATTGCAGCTCACTGTTTCACATGTGTTAATAGATCTGTAAGGTTACGCACTAAGCAACAGTCAATCTAAGGGTATTAAGGGTATTAATATGAAAGCTTATGGATGATAGTAGGAAAGTAAGAGGATGTTAGCTAGATGAATGTAAATTATAAGTGATTCTTAACTATACTAACTGTAGTGTTTTTTTTTTGTTTTTTTTTGCTCAGAAATTTTTTGTGTAAAGTATTGGAAGGGTGCAAACTTTTCCAGGTGGAAATTTTATGCCAATTCATTGTCGATTGGCCTTCAATACAGGCATGCACAATTCAAACTATGAAGTAGCATATTGTTAGATTTAGAATGAAAAGTAGAACAAGAAACTAATTTTTTAAGGGTTTCCAACTAATCTGCAGACAGTATATCAATTTTGTTAATTTTTTTGAATACATTTCTCCGTAATATTTCTAGATACTTCCACAGTATAGTGATGCTGTCATGTCAAGGACCCTAATATACATCCCATCATACTTCGACTTCGTACGAGTACGTAATCACTTTAGGAAGAACGACTTGAACTTTGCCCAGATTTGTGAGTAAGTATTTTACGGTCTTCTTTCTAACTGTGAAATATTATCAGATGGTTTGAACGATTTTTTTTGCAAAGATTTTTCATGCGGTATGCTGATACAACACTAGTATTCAACACATGTCGCGAAACAGAGATCAATGTGATACGCCTTCTTTCTTAAGCAAATTAAATGACAAAACAGGATCTCTGAAGATATTTACATGAAGAAGAGGAATATACGAGTGTGAAGAAAAAATGTTGCACAACTTTAAATAACAATAATAATGGTCGACTTATTAAGTGTATATTGTAGACACCTCTCATTGGATCAAGCACATATGGAACACATACTCGGGTCCCTGGGGAAGAATTCCATGATCAGGGGCGGATCCAGAGATGTCCAAAAGGGGGGGGGGCCGAAATTTGGGCCAATCGAGACAACAATGACCTAGGGGGTCCGGGGGCATTCCCCCGCGAAATTTTTGTGTTCTAGACGCCCGAAAATAACATTTGAGGCGTTGTGGGCTATCATTTCTTTCTTTTTTTCTTTTTCCCCCTTAAATCCGCCCCTGATGATGGTGAAGCTGTAATCAGCACATTTTGTTTTTTAACCTACCAGGTACTCACTTGTACTCCTGGGTGGAGAGAGACAACTGTAGGTAAAGTGTCATGCCCAAGAACAGAATTGAAATACAAAGCGAGGGATCGAACCTCCAACCATAATATTGAGAAGCACAACTGCAACCACCGTGTCAAACCTCTTAACCCATTGCATCCTTTGAAAGAGTAAGGGTTTTAGCCCGAAGGGAATTTACCCCAATGCTATGGTTTATTTCAGCCCCTGTCATGGAATGATGTGAACATGAAGCTACTATAAGCGCCTCTTTAAGGCTGCTAGGTAGTCACGGACCATGCCCATACACAACAGCACAATGGTGCTGAGAGTTATAGGTTTTTCTCCTACCTTGTGGCTACCAGAAGCATGCATTAGAGGCTGGGTAGTCTGTTTAAAAATTAAATACACATGAATGTTGATCACTGGGGAAGCATCATATTTGCTAGGTATTTAAAGTAGATTAGCTTTTTATAAATAATAAAGCTTAACATAATGTTGTTAAGTCTGTTAAATATATTTTATGTTGATTATATCACTATTAGTGGTATAATATAGAGTTGAATAGCTTGGTGGGTAAGATGCTTGCTTATAATAATAATAAAAATAAAAATAATATAATAATAATAATAATAATAATAATAATAATAATAATAAAATTATTAGTAGTAGTAGCAGTAGTAGCAGCAGCAGCAATATAATAATAATAATAATAATTTTAAAATAATAATAATATTAATAATATAATAATAATAGTAATAATAATAATAATAATATAATAATTTATTCAATTTATTCCAATAATGAAAATAGTAATAATAATAATGAATAAATATCAAAATATTGCATTGAAGTGAGTTCAGTTAGTTATTAAAACAAGAGTTAGAGGGCAAGACTGTCATGAAAGTGAGGCATGTTGTGGCCAAATGGTTAAGTTGTCGCACAGTCCAGTATTGAGTAAAATATGGGAGCTCAAAAGATTGCCTAAAAATCCGAATTTGTTTTTCACTATAGGTCAATACTGGACTGTGCAACAACTTAACCATTTTGCCACAACATGCCTCACTTTCATGACAGTCTTGCCTTCTAACTCTTGTTTTAATAACATGGGAGCTAAAAAAAAAAAATCCGAATTTGTTTTTCACTATAGATCAACAGTTTAATGTCTTATTAATCATGTCCCAAATTATTAGTTCTGGAAGTGGTTAACAAATTGTTTATTTAACATATTTTTCATAGTTCATTCTATTAAACAATGTATGCACAAATAACTTTGAAAGGCAATTACTGTACTCAAAATCATGTTCATCTTGACTCTAAGAATTCTGTATTTTCACTTTCCAATAACTTAGGCTTAAAATGTCCAATTTGAATGAATGACCCCTCATTTTAAAAATCACTAACTCAGGTATCTGAAAATACCAATAACTTGAATTTCAATTTTTGCTACAACTTAGCCATTTTGCCAAAACATGCCTCAAGTGTTGTATTAATGATGTTCTAAAAGACTGGATTGTAGAAGACATGTATTGAAATAGGGAGACTGTTCCAAGTGATTGGTGTACAGCGAAAAAAAGAGTTGTGAAATAGAGTAGTAGAGTAGAGCACCAGATGAAGAAAATGCATATTACTGCTGTTGTCTTAAAGCCCTTGGAATGTTGCACAAAAGAAACAGTTGGTCTACCAGTGGAAAATAGTAGGCTGGCTGCATAATTTATTTTGTATTTAATCAAAGGGTCTTAGGTTTGGATCATGACTTATTTAAATGCTGAATAGGCAAAGGCAGACAGTCTTAAGTTTGCATCCTTGCAGAGGCAATATATTTCCATAGTATTATATACCGGTATTGGTATATTCACATAAATGTTGTCATGGTCTTTAGCATTTTTTTTCCCTAATTTTTACATTTGGAATTATATACTTCAATTAGGCCAGTAATGTGAAATACTGAGACTAAAACTGTACTTTAAATCAAATGTTTGTACTCGCAGTGGCAGTTTCAAGGGTTACATTCAAATTTAAGTACCATTTCTGGCCATCTAGAGGTGCCATAATCATAAATTTTTTTTACCTCAGCCTTCCATGTTTGTGTGTAGACCGATGTTCCGCAAACTATGGTCCACAGCCCAAATTTGGGCCGCGAAACATTTTTGGAAGGCTGCGAAGCCGTCTGGAAATTGAAAAAAAAAAAATAACAAAGAGACGTTTCATCATGGAGAAAATAGTTTTTAATAAAGCCGCTTCATTGTTACAGCAAATGCGTCGCTTGCCCACTCTGCTAAAGTGCCAGATGATGCGTGCTATTTGAGTTATAAGCGGTTTTTGTGTCTATGCCCCCTCGGGAGCCTTTATCTGTATGTTTATTCCTGATAGTTTTGTATGCAACATTATTTTCTATTAATAAATATACTGTAAATATTGCTTTTTTAAGCATTAAATACATGTCATGCACGGATCCAGAGTTTACCCTGGCTTTCGCACAGATGGATTCCCATATTGGGAGAGTCATGAGAAGAGAGCTAGCTTGTTTTGTTGCTGGAAGATAAATTTTAGATATTTGAAAAGTTTTTGTTTTCTAGATGATTATTTGAATTGCATTATGAGACGTCTAATATTGAATACACTCTAAATTCATAGTTTTTCCCTATTTTGCTATGGACAATTAATAATTATGATGATGAAGAAGATGATGATAATGAGGAGGAAGCTGCGCAAGATTAATTAACAGGCCCTTTTATGTGAAGTGTCAAGCGATGCCCGTAAATTTTGATTGTTTATCAATATCATCATGTTAGATCCAAATCACGTTTTATGCAAGCACCGACGAGGAAAAATTAAACATATTAATTTTGATATGTACATGTTTTATGTTATGTGTTGATTGGTCTTAGTTAATAATATTAGTATAGTTTAATGGCTTAATGTAATAATATTACAGTTTAATAGTTTACAATAATATTCCAGTTTAATGGCCCCGGAACCCCAAACCCCTACTTGGGGCCCTTGGCGGTCCCCTAGCCCCAATCATTAGTGCTCACGCTTAGCTCGCAACCTGACCATTTCACTTCTCGTGGCTATGGCCCTGCTATGACGTGTGTGGCTGAACCGTGTTTGGTTGAATCATGGTAGAAAGAAAAAACAATCAACAATTGTCGGAGGGGGGCGGGAAGAAACTGGGGAAACACAAATGTATGGTATTATTTATTTAATAAAATAATATTTAATTTGCAATAAAATTTTATCACTGAGAAAACAGATAATAATGTCAAAATATTGTATATACATGGAGGCTTCATGATAAAAATTTCTTGCCAAGATTTGGTATGTTGGTCCCTGGCGCGGCTGGGCTGCTGGGCCGCGGCTTGGTGCCTGGAATCGTAAATAGGCCGTAAAGTAAAAAATTTGCGGAACGCTGGTGTAGACCACATCTGTGAAAGTCTCTTCCTGGGGCCCCCTCTATTTCAAGTTTCTTATCCATCACTCAGAAAATTAGACCTATTAGATTAGATTTATGTGGATCAGATTTTTGGTCACTCAATGATGCTGTATTCAAATTTTCAGGTACACAAGTCAATCAAACATCTCCAGAGCTCGTCAGCACCTATTAAAGGGAACTCGTCACATGTTACTTTACACTGAAAGATTTCACTTCTATCACAGGTCTTTTAATATTTTTATTTCAACTTCTGTTATTTTGTTTTATATTGTTAATTTTTTATATCAATCTATAAACAACAGAAAAAAGTGTTTAAAACGCATACATAGAAGCAACATTTAATTATACAATTTAACTAAGTCGAATTCAAAATGACATTGAAAAATTGTTCGACTTAGATAAAATTTGACTTACAGATTATTAAATAACGGAAGACAACAGTTTGGCATGTAAAATAAGATCGACTTCGAAATTAATCGACTTAGGCGAAATATGTATTAATAAATACATATTTATACGCACACACATTTTAATCATACTGAGCTCTATCCACACTAACATATTTTATGTGACAAATATGAGTGATGTGCCCATATATGGGCATGATGATGTCATACTACACCCAAATATGGGCATATCACATTTGGTTGTCACATAAAATTTGATAGTGTGGCCAAAGCTTAAGGATTTGACAAAAGTGAATTTTTGTTCACAGATACAAGTTGAAAGGAATCCGTCATGTCATTTTCTACCAACTGCCAAGTTACCCACAATTCTTTAGTGAAATTTGCAACATGGTAGATAACCACTCAACTAACAATCACAATTGTTCCGTTATTTATTCGACGTTTGATGCGCATCGATTGGCTGGTGTCGTGGGGAAATTACGTTGCTCCCGTATGCTGTCTTCAAATAAAGACACATACTTATTAATAACTGGAACTCATTAAATTGAGTTTATATATTGATTGCTAATGTGTGTGATGTTGAACACGTGTAAACAAATGCTTTCACTTTTGGATTCAGTTTGCACAAAACGTAACAGCTAATGATAGTTGCAGTTAGCCTGTGGCAGCCCCAGCCTGCTAGACTGGCATGGACCTCCCTTGGCTTCCAAACCATGGCAAAGTTGTCCGACTAAAATATTAATTTGCTAATCCAAACAATGTTACTGTGCTTGCTAATTTATAATTTTGTGATCTTAATGCACAAATTTGGGCCTTTCTAAACAGTCTAGAACCTGACCGTGGCTTTAGGCGTTTCCCTGACTCTGACCCCCTTGTGGCTCCGGAAGCTTGTCAACAAGGGGTCTAACAACTACTATTTTCAAGGGAGACTCAGCTGGCCCAGTCCCCCCCCCCCCCCCCAAATTTTTCAAAAAAAAAAAAATGAAGTCTAAAAGTGCCATTTCCTGCCATGTAGAGGTGCCATAATCATAACTTTCTTATCTTACCCCAAACCATTGTCGGGCTGAGGTAGTATAGACCCTCCATTTGTGAAAGTCCAAAATATATTAATGATGTTTCAGCAAATACTTCCACCCTGAATTCAATGTTGCACAAGATGTAAACAGCAGAATACAGCCTGATTCTAGCCAGATGAAATGCAAACAAATATTGATTTGTTAAAAATGAATTATTTGTTATTAAGAGTGTGGTGTTTATCTCCCTAAATCAGTTGTCAATATTTTCTACAATGAAGCAGTTGATTTGAGCAAATATTAAAAGTGGTTTTGACAATTTTTCTTGAGTAGTGTATCAGTACCAATTTGTTTCCACATTCATCCTACTTTAAATGTAAAAATTCTTAAGTTTTATATTTCGTTTAGGTAATGACTTTTGAGTGTATTGAAGGAAGTACAGTATTTGCATATAAATTAATTCAACAGTAAATTAAAGACAAACAGCACTTTTCAGACTAACACATTATTGCACAAACTTTGACTGCACAGTGGTCTTCATCAAGTGAGTATTGATTTGCTAATCCAAATAATTATAAAACATGTTTTGACTGAAAGTACCAGATGGCATTTGTGCATATATTATGTACAAAATACCAAGAAACAGGCTTAAATTAAAGGCCATTATTTTTTTTTAAATGACATTAAAAATTACCCAGAAAAATGTCTTTATGATAGCTAATTCAACACTATCCTTAGAAGACAAATTTCCAACATGTTTATACATCTTTAAATGCGCTCTGAAGGTCATAATTTTCAGTTTTTTGCTTACGTAGGACACTCTCTTCCAAAACAACCTCTCTCTCTTATTACAAAAATAATAGAATTGAAAAGTAAAGTACAGAGTGTAAACAGCAAAATACTGTATATAATTTACCTAGGAGTATAAATGGGTACCTGGTGGAGTTGCTTGCTTTACACACGATGCACAGCAATTGACGTTGCTGTTGGTGTGCAATACGTACAAAACACGACGACGACGACAGCAGCATTCAGTCAGTCTTGTTAAAATAAATAATATATTGGTCTACCACAAACTACCAAACAGATCAATAAACAATAATCCGCGACAAAATAAAAATCAAGAGTATTTGTAACGATTGAATATGTAGCATAAATGCATTCCGTGAAAACCTGGTGTACAGTTAACTGTACTTCAAACACAGAAACATCGTTGAAATGAAATTCCTCTAGGCCTATAATATATAAAAAAACGAAAGAAAGTGGTGCAGAAAAAAACAAATTGTGCACAGTTACTGTACTTTAAACACAGAAAAACGTACGTGTCGTCAGTATTATGAAGTTTTGTTTACGACTGCTGTGTAATTTTACTAGTTTACAACAACATAGTCATGTCATGTATACTTGAATATGCCTATGTAAAATAAATGAGTATTCCGTATTCTTAAAGTCAGGCTCCGGAGGAAAAACATTTTTTGATATGTTGTGATAACTATTCTACTTATTACGCATGCGTGTCACTAAGCAGATTTTGAAGAACGAAAGAAAATTTGTTATTGTCAAACCATGGAGGTATGTCAAACAATTTTTTTTTTTTTTTTTTGGGTATATGTATGTGTGTATGGGTGTATATGTATATGTGTGTATGTATGTGTGTGTATGTATAATATGTATATGTGTATATGTATATATGTATGTATGTTATGTATATATGTATATATATATGTATATAATTATATATTTGTTTATGTATGTTTTATGTGTATGTATGTGTATATTTGTATTTTTATGAGTAAATTTCATGTAGTGCTAAATTTGCTTAATTTTTAGGTTCTGATTGAATATGTTCTATGTATTAATTTAAGACCGAAAATTTTGTTCAAATGTATTTTCTACCGTAGCTCTTTAATGCTTGTAAGATTAGTATATTTGTATTTTTATGAGTAAATTTCTTGTAGTGCTAAATTTGCTTAATTTTTAGGTTCTGATTGAATATGTTCTGTGTATTAATTTAAGACCGAAAATTTTGTTCAAATGTATTTTCAGCTCTTTAATGCCTGTAAGATTAGTTTAAGACGTGCTGTGTTTTTCTTATGGATGCACCACTTTTTGTGTGTGCCACCGATGCAAAGGTGCAATTTCCAAATAAATTGATTGATTGATTGATTGAAGACTATTTTAGTAGATGATAAATGGATAAGTTTGACTTCTAAAACCGCCAACTTTGGTTCTGTGGTTTGACCAGTCAAGTTCAAAACAGTGGCAAATCGGCCAAATTGTGAAAACACCACCCCAGCCCTACCATGGTTTGGGTTAACAGGGGGCGGATCCAGCCTGCCAGAAAAGTGGGGGGGGGGCGCAGCCTGCGAGCGAAGCGAGCAGCCTTAGGCTGGGGGACTGGGGGCCGCCTAGGGCCCCCGGCGAGGTCCAGGGGCCGAGCCCCTGGTGGGGGCCGAGCCCCTGGTGGGGGTGCAAGGGGGCGAAGCACCCTTGAAGCCCAGCACATTTGAGGAATATGAGTTTGCATTAAGTCAATTTTGACTATCTAGCATGGTAGTTTTCAGTAACAAAAAAAAAAAAATTAGGTGCATGTCTTTTAAAAGAAATTTTAATATTCAGGGTAGCCGCAATATGCAACTATAAAATGTGTCATTAAAATAATAATTCTTCTACTCACAGCTGTGAAAATTCAAGGTTTTCCCCTCTTGAAAACGGTCTGGTAAATTTTTCTCATGTCTTATTTTATGTGTGTGTTTACATACATAAACAAATTGAGTAATTGCATACGATTTTTTCCATGAATCAATAAATTCCCAAAAAAGAAAGGGGGTAGGGGGTTCTCCCCCGGGAAAATTTTGATTCTTAGAAGGTGGGAAATAAGTTTTCCCGACTTCTGAGGTGTCTTTTAATTACTTTTTATTTCTTCAAAATCCAATTTTTCCCCTCTTCGATTTCTAGAATGCGGGAAATGAGCTTTCCTGACTTCTGAAATGTCTTTTAAATGACTTTTTAAGTTCTTCAAAATTTAAGGTTTTTCCCTCTTGAAAACGGTCAGGTAAATTTTTCTCATGTCTTATTTTATGTGTGTATACATACATAAATAAATGAGTAGTTGCACGCCTATTCTTTTTTCCATGAATCGATAAATCCCAAAAAGAAAATTTTGATTCCTAGATGGCAGGAAATAAGCTTTCCCGACACTGGAAGTGTGTTTTAATGACGTTCTTCAAAATTCTAATTTTCTTATTGTAACATAAAAAAAAAAAAAAAAAAAATCAGCTCACGGGTCCTGAAAAGTTAGGTCTAGGAATTTTTTTCTTTTTTTTTTTTGTTGGCCAAGGGAGGGGTCAGGACCCATTACCCCCTCCCCCAGATCCGCCAATGTGAATCGCGA